TCTTCCTCTTGATTTTTCCCCACGGGGATTTTATGTTGGCCAGATGGTATTCTGAAGACTTCCTAGACATATCAGCATTTTAGAAAGCAAAAATCTATTTTTTGCATTTGGTAATTAAATTTTATATCTTGCTGTCTGGTTTAAAACATCCAAACAAGTCAATATTTGGTCCATATTCAATACTGTACAGTCATTCTCTTCTTCACATAACAGAGCATTTTCCTTTTCAATAAAGTTCTGTTTTTTGTTTGTTCCTTTAGATACCAGTAATTAGTTACTCAATTATACCCTCTGTTTCCTTGAATTCTACCAATTCTGAGGCATGCTCTAACAATCCACATCTTTATGCTACAGTTTCTTTCTAGTGAATGCCAATTAAATTTCAGCAGCAGCAAAAATTGAAATATCCCTTTCTGTATTCATCATAGAATGTTTATCTTCCATGGAGAATTGCTAAATGAAGTGTTGGAGAATCAGTCCAGTGGGAAATGGCTTACTTCTCAAATTGGCCCAATCCTCATTTTTAAACTTATGGAAGTCTCCACAAGTAGTTGCCTTCATGGTCAAAGCTCTCATAAACGGGAAAATAATCACTATGTCATATAGTCTGTCATAAATGCTTCTAATAGTGTAATATCTCAAAAGCTTAATTCCAAGTATTTCCTTTATGGAATAAATAAATATAATCTCCATGTGGAACCTTCTGACTTTTGTCCTATGTCATAGTAGTATTGAAAAATATGTCCTTTCTATGTAAAGTCAGAGTCCCTGGATGTCACAAACAGTGAACCACTCATCTATTCACCAATAGATTGGTAGTTTGAATTCACCCAAAGGCTCCTTGGAACAAAGCCAGGCAAACTACTTCTAAAAATTCACAGCCATAAAAAAAAAAAAAAAAAGAATCTAGGGAAAACAAGTTCTATTCAATACATGGGGTGGCCAAGAGTCAGAATCAACTTGAAAACAACTGGCTAAATGAAAACAGCTATCTTGTTTCCAAAAAAATATTTTGTCAGCAAGAATCTTTTGTCTTACCTACTTAATACTATGTAATATTCAAAGGTTAGCGGTTCCTCTTTGTTGTTGTTGTTGTCAAGTACTGTAGAGTCGGTTCCAACGCATAGTGACCCTGTTTAAGTATACTTAAAAAAAAACAAACAAACCTGGGTTTTCCTAAACTGATTATTTATTTTTCTTATTTGCCTTTGTACAAAAGAATATCTCTGTCTGGAAAGTATTTCGTTTCTTCTTTATTTATGTAAATATCTAGCCTCCCTTAAAACTGTTCAAATCCCATGTTTATGGGACCTTCCCTGAGCATCTCTTTCTAATATATACATACTACGACAGAGAAAGAGAAAGAGAGACTTAGCTGTTTTCCTTTTCCCTTGTCCTCCAATTCCAGTAACATTTTATAGTAATGCTCACTGGATTGTAACTATTGTCCACACTTTTGTCTTCCATTACGTTACTAGGTCTGAGGCACAGTGTGCACAGTTTGTTCATCTTTGGACCCTAGGACCTTAGCCCAACATTTCCATGGTCAGAGGCAGTCAATATATATTTGACCAAATATTATAGTCAGATTATTATTTTAAAAAATTCTTAAATTCCAGAAGATAGCACTGTCATTCTTCTATATTGAAGTTAGTATCTGTAACCATAAGAATCAAAAGTAGGTATACTTATTATTTTTTAAACTTAATTTTTAAAGTTTTACTTGAGACAAAACTAAAATATAAAGTTTCTAATAAGGTGGATGGATCTGACTTTATTACCAAAATGAGCTCATATTTAGAATAGAAAATGTCTAAAAAAGCAAGATCCTGAGTAAAATTAGACTTTGTAACTAAAAATTTCATTAACTACTGTGCTCTCTTTAAAAACAAATCATTATTAATTGATAATTTATGAAACAACAAAGGCAGCTGAAAGTGATTGAAAGCTAAACACAGTTAGTTGTTGTTTTTGTTAAATGCTGTCAAGTCAGTTCCGACCCATATTATTTTAGCGGTCAACAAGCATTAAGGCCCTAGTTACCTTACACACCAATATTATTGTTGTTAAGTGCCATCAAATAGGTTCCAACTCTTAGCAACCATTTATAGGGTTTCTAAGGAGCAGTTAGTAGGTTTGAACTGTCTACCTTGTGGTTAGCAATTCAGTGTTTATCTTACAGTACCACACCATAATCTCAAATTATACAAATTATAGTCATCTGAGCTCATTTTAAACAGAGACTGGCATTTTTATTTTAAAAACAAACAAACATAAAAACACATTTTAAAATTATTCATGATATACAACATTTCATGTGCTAATGACTTATCCCCTATGATTTTTTTCTGATAACTACAAAGATAAGATTTTCTGTTAAGATGATTAAAATGATTTTTCTAAGAATGTACATGGATGTTTGAAAGAGAGGAAGTAGAGTTTATGAATTCCAAAATAGCACTACTTGAAAACATGTGCATGAAAGAACTCTTATAAGCATTCTTTGAGTGATTTTTTCCTCTCTCCTCCCTCCACTCCCCATGCCTTTAAAAAAAAAAAATTTTTTTTAAGCTTTGGGTGGAGTTAAGAACTCTTTTCAAATTTTAAACAATAACTGGAAATCCTGAAAAGGTACTCTCCTTTATCCAGTAAAGGAAAAACACTTTTAAGCTTTTTTTTTTTTTTTTTCTTGTGCTAAGAATTGTTTAGCAAGGGATTTACTCAGTCAGTGGCTTCTACTTTGGACAGAAAGTTCAGTTTTAACAGCCTAATAATATAATGCCATCTGTGTTTATTTTCCCCTCCAAAACATAGGGTTGTTTTTTTCCCCCAAATACATCAAGTACATGAACCTAATAATCCAGATTAATATATCAACTCAACTAATACTTTACTTTTAGCAAATGGTGCAATTAGCTAAAGGTTGAAAATATCTATCAGAAAAAATATAAATCTTTATGCATTTTGCAAATACAAAATCTATAGTGTCTGAAAATTTAAAATTTTGACAAGATTCTGATTAATAAGTAATGATGTCTTCTGATTATATTTTCCAGGGTAGAGGTAATATGATATGAGAAATAGAGGCACACACATATGGTTAGTAGTTAGAGAACTGGGCCAGGAGTCCAAGGACCACAGAATCACAGAATCACTCCCCCAGCTTGCTGCAAATCTAGACCATCTGCCAGAACCATTCACACATCTACTTGAAATTATAGAGGCTTATTTGTAGATACAATGGAAAATAAAATTTGATTTTCATTAATAATGTATTTTACATTACTTTAAATACTATAAAGTGATAATAAATATAGAAAGATATAGATCAATAGATTGATCGATCGATAGATCGATCGATAGATCGATTGATAGATAGATAGATAGATAGATAGATAGATAGATAGATAGATAGATAGATATAGATAAACAGGGGTTTCAAAAAATTCATTGAAAATTTCATGAAAAGATAATGGACTATTTCCACAGACTTTTAAACCCCCCTTATATATTTACAACTCACTTATAGACATGGATAAGTTACAAAGACCAGGTGTTTATACAGAAGTGGCAGTTTGTGAAAATAGAGGATAATGACATCACATCATCCCCTCACCTGTAGCGTGAACATCCTGCCAGGCTTCTTTTGAGGTCACTTGCCCTCACTGTCTCCCCCGTTCCCACAATACCTCAGGATAACATCAGCTCCTACTTTGATTCTAAAAAATTTATGTGGTGCCAGGTTTTCTCTTCCCAGGACATCTACAGTGACTTAAAAACCATCTCAATGGACATATCACTAAAATAGCCAGACATATACCACACAGTGCCTAATCTTTCGTGCTTCTACTCGAGTCTTCAGAGAGCAAGTTAAACCATAAAAGAATAGCTTCCTAATCATCTAGATATTCACTTGATCAATAAAAATAGACAAGAACAGTGGCTAGATTTCTGCCTCCATCTGAAAGTCATGAGACGATTTTGATTCAGGAAATTCTGATGTTCCTAATTTTGTGCCTTTTATTTCTCAACCTGAAGGTGTATGTAGAGCAACTGGGAACTGCACCTTTTCTATACAACCCTGAAAGAAGGTCTTGGTTACCCTTTACCATTTGCACTGAAGCAGCACTGAAATAGATCTTAATTGCTAAGGAGAAATGCTTAACACATCTGAGTGTATATGTCATTGTTTGTGTTGTTGCTTATCTTTCACTTTGCATTGTTCATGCTTGCCTTTTCTTGGGCTCTAAACTTGCTTCCTGAAGAGCAGTTGTTTTATATGAATTGTGTATAGAACTGACATTTTGTATCTCAATTGGTTTTCGTTCATAATATCTCTTTTGCCTGACATGTACTGAATTCATTAGACAAAATGATTTATGAATGCCAGAATAAGCTGACCACCACTAAATAATATTTTTTAACTTAAAAATCTTTCAACAAAAAGACAAAAACATATAAAATACGAATACATGCAAAAGATCAATAATATGAATATGGTCTGCTTAACTATTATTATAATACATTAAATTAAGCAATAAAAGCATAATTCTTTCATTCTTTTAAACACCCTTTGAAATACAAAAATTTCTTTTGTATATTACTTTACACATTTTGTCAAAAAAATATAATACAGTAAATACAGATGATTATTTAAAATCTCCAGTAAAGGCTTTATGTCAACCAATCTTAAAATCACAATTGCCCATAACTATAACTTAGTACCCTTTTTGAAAACAGAACTGGGCAGGGGACGTATCATCAGTGCTGCTGACGCTGCTGCTGTATGCCGTGAAGTCGGTTCTGACCCATAGCCACCTTGTACAGGGTTTCCGAGGCTGTAAACCTTTACGGGAGCAGAACGCCTCATCTTTCTCCCGTGAAACAGCTTGTAGTTTCGAACTGCGGTCTTTGCGGTTTGCAGCCCTGTTCGTAACCACTACTACGCTACCAGAGCTCCTTATCAACAGTATTGATCTTCAAATCAGGCCAATACTCACGAGAGGATATTCCCAATGTAGGCGTAGTAGGAACAGCAATAAGGGGTGGTCCCATCACAGCAGTAAGATTTGCAGTCTTTTCCACATTGAGCAAGGCAGCCATCTACAAAATACAAACCCCCATATGCTCACTTACAATTATGACATAACAAATTCAGGACAAATTTTTCTATTGCATATCTTAATGGGTCACCAAACAACCTGCAGTGCCATTTAGAATTTCATCTGATATATGCATGTAAATATCCACACTAGTCTTTCTACCCCATTACACTATAAGATCCTAAAGGCCAAGAAAGATCTTTCTCTAATTCATATGTTCAAGAATCTCAAAATTAATAATTTCCAACTCACTCCCTGATAATAATAGTACCTATTATATAAATTGTAAAATACTTTCATTTTTTCCATCTAAGTCATAATATAAAAGTGAAAAATGTTATCTATATGGCACATGTCCATGTAATTGACTTTATCTAGAAAGGGCAATTTAGATTTTGCTTTTAAATCACCTCCCTGAAATGATAATTCTTTAGCAAAGAATGTAATCAGAGGTAGCAAAGTCAATTTTACTTTATTAATAAAACATGGATTTGGAGAACAAATGGAAAAGTTTACATTTTCTTAGCTTCAATTTTATTGTTGTTTCATAGATGAACAAACCTGAACCTTGAGATTTTCCTCTGCATTGTGGTAAGAACAAATGAAAGGGAAAATAATTACCTTCATAAGATTCAGAAACTATATTTAAAATTCACTTTGAAAATCTGAAGACAGAAATAGGATCTAATTATTTAGAATCAAGAGAGAAGTGAATATATATTTTTGCCTTGGCATTGGATGCTTTCTGCAAAATCTAAGTTTTTAAGTTATTTATTGCACAGTTTTACTAGGGGTTGTCTGTAGCTCTCTATGTATGTGTGTGTGCATATATATACATATATATATACACAGGTTACTATGTTTAACTTACATACAATCCTTATATGAACCAACTCCTAGAAACTCTACTATGTTAAAAATTCAAGGAACGTAAAATGGTTCATAACAATAAATGGGTGCTACTTTGCAACATGCAATAAAACATAATTATTATTATTGCTATTTTTTGTTGTTGTTATGTGCTGTTGAGTCAGTTTCGATTCACAGTGACCCTGTATAGGGTTTCTAAGGAGTGGTTGGTGGGTTTGAGCCACCAACCTTTCATTCAGAAATCCATTGCTTATCTTACAGTGCCATAATTATTACAATATGATCACATTAATGATGATTTAGTATATTTGAAAGTACAGTTTTAATTTTTTTATGTATGTATAAAATATATGCTATATACTAAGACAAACCTTGGACTGACATTACATATGAACCATACATAATTTTTCCATCTTATTTACAAATTCAAAGACAGATTTAGGAATGGAACTCATTCGTAACCTGTTTATAGAAAGCTAGATAGATACATAGATATATAGATAAATAGATGTAGATACAGAAGGAGAGAGAGAGAGTCCTGGTGTGGCATTGTGGGATAATGCATTGGACTGGAAGGTTGGTTTGAGCCACAAGGTCGGTGGTTCAAACTCACCAGTCACTCACTGGAAACCCTATACAGAGTCGCACTGGGTCAGAACTAACTCAATGGCACTTAACAACAACAATACATATAGAGTCATGGTGTGGTGCTATGGTTAATGCACTGAACTCTAAGGTCAGTTTTAACTGCGGGGTCTGCAGTTCAAGCTTACCAGGTGCTCCTCAGAAACCCTATATAGGATCACTATGAGTTGGAAACAATGACTTGGATTGCTATGACAAGGCACATAACAAGAACAACCATATGTATATACAGTTGAAACTATATGAATATATAGTTGGAACTATATGTAAACATAGCTGAACTATATGCATATACAGTTGGACTATATGTGTATATTTCATTTATATATGAAAAATATATATGTATTCATTTATATAATGAATATATATTTATTATATTCAAAGAAAAAATATATATGTATTCATTTATTTTTGCATTGTGGTGTGGCGCTAGAGTCCTAGTGGGTCAGTGCTCTGGACTCCAAAGTTATTTGAACTGCAAGATCAGCAATTCAAACTCATCAGCCGCTCCTTGGAAACCCTATATCAAGTCACTATGAGTCAGAACTGACTCAACGGCACTAACAACAGCAACAATATATATTTAAATACACAAATCTATGTATGTTAGATATTGTAACTAGCTATCATGGAGGTGACCACCAAGTCATGGTGACCCCATGCAAAACAAAATACCATCTAGTCCTATACTATCCCCATGATCTGGGCAGAATTGGATCATAGATTTTTCATGTGCTTATTTTCAGAAATAAGAGTACCAGGATTTTCTTCCTATTTCATCTTAGTCTGAAGCTCCTCTAAAATCACAGCAACACACACACCAACATTGACATATGGGTGGGTGGTTAACTGTGTATGAAGTACTCTGGCCAGAAATCAAGCTTGGGTCTCCTGCAGCAAAGTTGAGAATTCTGCCATTAAATTCCCATTGCCCCCTAGATATTTGTTGTTGTTGTCATCTACTGTTGTCTAGTTAGTTCTAATCCCTGGCCTGTGCAGAAAAGAACTGCTCCATAGGGTTTAAAGGCTGTAACCTTTCAGCCAGGAAACCTTCCCAGAAGTAGACAGCCAGGACTATCTATCCCCTGAGGCGGCAAACCGCCATTCTTTCAGCTAGTAATTTAGCACTTAACTGTTGTGTCACTGAGGGACTCCAGACATTGTTGTAATGCTCTTTAATTTATTCAAATATTTAAACTTGTCAGTCATTTTAAGGGCTTAGCAGAAAGTTTTTTGCTTTATGCTTTTAAAAACCGTTCCAATCCCAACAGAGTTGATGTCCTATTCTGTCATACCAATGTCTACATAGCTTTATAGGTGCCTTTTGAATGATGCCAAGGATACTGAAATCTTATGAAACTCTCCATGAATATCCAAGACTCAATTATTACTATTGTACTACAGCTTCTAACATGATAAGGACATAGTGTTATCAAAATATTTTTAAGTCAACGCTACAGGAAACCAAGCCCAAAATCTGATAGCCAAGAAGCTAGATCATACTTACAACAAACATTTAGATCATGTCACAAAATGTTCATTATTTTTCATGATATTTTCCTGGGTTCTTGTCTATTTTCCAGAATGAATATACTGAAAGAGAGGCTTAATAGTATGTAAAATATATTCACAATCACTACATTTCCAAACAGATTTTTCAAACCATTATTTGATACATTAGTGGCTTTCTACAGAGCATTTGAGCTGGATTCTATTAAAATTAGAACTTGGTTTTTATAAGGGCATTTTCTCACTTTTAAAGGAATGGAATGTTTTGATTGTACCGAAAATAAACGGTATCCCCTCTAATCTCTAAATTTATTTCCCTAAAAATTAGCCAGTTCAAACTTTTCTCTAGTGACTTTAATTAAAGGCATGAGCTGGAAGCAGGTTTCCCAACCCCCCACCTTAAGAAGTAAATAGTCCAGGAAAAGCAACATCTGGCTCTAAGCACTTTTTTTCTACTCAGATGTGGTACTTGTAAGCTATAGCTAAGGATATGAAAGGAAGGAAAAGGAGGGGTAGGGTCACTGGCTGGAGCCCAGGAAGAAAACCTTGACTGGATCCTGTGTTTGTGCAGTATGAGTTGGACAATAATATTATCACTTCATTGGGTCTCTTTTCAAAAGAGATTCCATAGTAAAACATAATGCTTTGTGTATAGAAACTGATCGTATTTGCTTAGCCTGGATTTATTACATTTGCTTTGGGGAAAATCATTCAGGTTACAGACAGATGCTTTTGTCCCAATAATATGAGCAATATATTTAACATGATGTCTGGATTATTTTATTTCTGCAGTGTTCCCACATTTAACTCCCAATCCCTCACTTCCAGCTGTTTCATTTAATACCAGCCAAAGTGAATTATCTATTGTTCCATATACACGTCATGTTTTCCTTTGCTCTCACTAGATCCTACTCCATCTCTCTATGTTTAAGGCTTCCCAATTCAAGAGTCTAGTACATTAAGTCCTCTTCAATTCAATGTCACTGGACAAATATTTTTTGAGATACTATATGCCAGGCATTTTGCTAGGTTTTGAGACTTACATTGAGTAAAACAGACTCCTTCCACATACGGCTTCTTTTGAGCACCAATGTCATGTGATTGTATCTCTCCTATGACACAACACTTTATACATTTGCATAATCTATATGCCATCTTATCTCCCCAACAAAACTCAGAGCATGGCTTTTACTCTATTTATCACTCAACATGCATCATTCAATAAATAGCAGTTGAATGAATAAGGCAAGCATAAAAAGGCCTCTGGCAAAAAAAAAAATTTCAGGAATTAACCCTAAAGCACTTCTTGATTAAGCCATTTTATATCAGAGATAATAAATTAATCTAGTATTGGTTTTGCAATTGCTTTGTAATTCACTAGGGAGGGATAGGAGTCCCTGAGTTGTACAAACAGTTAAACTCTGTGCTGTTAAACAAAACGTAGTTGTTTGAATCCACCAAGAAGCACCTTAGAAGAAAGACCTGGCAATCTACTTCCAAGAGATCATAGCCACTGAAAGTCCTGGGGTCACCAGAAGTTGGAATCAGCTCAATGGCAACTGTTTTTTGTTTGAAGTTGGGATGCAGCGAGAATGACGAAATGAATGGAGTGAAACTTTCTAGATACCCACACTGCTGCTAGTCAACTGTTCTGGTTTCCTAGACCCTGAGGATTTGGTGTCTACCACTGGAAGATTATGATACAGAGAATTAAAGGAGTGCAAACTTCATCACGTGGAATAAAATAGACAAAAAGTACAAGAAACAGTTGTGGTTCAGAGGAGTGACTGTGTAAGAAGGAGTGAAGGTATTAAAGAAAGTTCTATTTACGGTGTATTTTCTTTCTCTTTTTTTGCTTCATTTTGAGAAGCAGAAGGGGTTTATTGGTATTATCAGAAAGAATTATCAGTTATTTTTACATAAAACTAATAATAATACAATTGATTGGCCCTCTAATTCTGTAAACTTTATACAATGTAAGGGAAAGAAATAAGTTTTGTAAACAGAAATTAAAATGTGGGTTCTCCCCATCAAATACAGGAACACCTCAGAGACGCTGGTGGTTCTGTTTCAGACCACAATAAAATGAATATTAAATTAACAGAGTCACAAGAAATTTTTGGAGTCCTGGTTTGGCACTGTAGGAAAAGCAGTGGACCACAAGGCTGGATTGAGTCATAAGATTAGTGGTTCAAACTCACCAACTGCTCTTTGGAAATCCTATACAGGCTCACTAGGAGTCAGAACTGACTAGACGGCACTTAACAACAACATGCACTGTACTGCTAACCACAAGGTCAGTGGCTCAAACCCACCAGCTGCTCTATGGAAACCCTATACAGGGTTGCTATGATTCGGAACTAACTCAGTAGTAAAAACAGTGCCTTTAAGGAGTCCTGGTGTGGTGCTACAGGATAATCATAAGGTAGGCAGTTCAAACCCACCAGCCTCAGAAATCCTACACAGGGTCACTATGAGTTGGAATCAATCAGGAGTGACTAGTCCCTGGAGAAAGAAATCATGTCTGGTGTAGTGAAGGATCAGAGAAAGAATGGAAGACACCCAACGAGATGAAGTAGAACAGTAGCAGCAGCAAGGGACTCAAGTCATGGCAACAATTGTGAGGTACAGGACCAGGCAGTGTTTCGTTCTGTTGTGCATAAGGTCACTCTGAATCAGTACTGACTCAATGGCACCTAATAACAACAATAACAACAACAATGTGGTGGTGGTGGTTGTTGTGTGCTGTGGAGTCAGTTCTGACTCATAGTGATGTTGTATAGGGTTTCCAAGGCTGTAAATCTTTACAGTAGCAGAAAGCCTCATCTTTCTCCTGAGGAACAGCTGGTAATTTCAAATTACTGACCTTGAGGTTAGCAGCCCAACTCAAAACCACCACGCTACAATAGTGCGTATCAAAACATTGCTTAATGAAAGTGAAGAGGATTTGAATCAATTGCTGATGAAGATCAAATAATAAAGCCTTTAGTATGGATTACAACTCAATGTAAAGAAAATAAAAATCCTCACAACTGGACCAATAAACAACATCATGCTAAACAAAGAAAAGATTGAAATTGTCAAATATCTCATTTTGCTTGGATTTACAATCAATGCTCATGGAAGCAGCAATCAAGAATTCAAATGGCATACTGCATTAGGTAAATTTGCAGCAAAAGAACTCTTTAAAGTGTGAAAGAGCAAAGAGGTCACATTGAGGTGCACCTGACCCAAGTCATATATGCATGAGAATGTGGACAATAAATAAAAAAAGACCCTCAAAGAATCAATGCATTTGAATTACGGAGTTGGAGAAGAATATTGAAAGTACCATGGACTTGCCAGGAGAACAAACAAATCCACATTGGAAGAAGTACAGCCAGGATGCTCCTTAGAAGGTGTCAAATACTTTGGACATGTTGTCAGTAGGGTCAGGACCCTGGAAAAGCACATCATGCTTGGCAAACTAGAGGAATACCCCCAACCCCCAAGAAAGATGAATTGACACAGTGCCTGCAACAATGCAATCAAATATAACAACTGTAAGGATTACACAGGATCTGGCAGTGTTTCATTCTGTAGTGTACAGGGTCTAACTTGCAGTTAGAACTTTCCTAATTTTATGAATTTTTTTATTAGTAAGTCAGTTTTTCCGTACAAGAACATAATTTCATAATGTCAACTTAAGGATAGTCCTAAGTGCACATTTTCATAAAAATTTTGAAAATGCCTATAGCAGTTTTCTGGCAAAGTTAAATGGGAAATTCAATTATTACAATGCTCAGGTAACAACAATGTTAAAGAATATCTTCATCTCAATTGCACTATCTCTGTTAGTACCAAAAAGCAAATCAATGTACTATGAACAAATTTAGTATTGCAAGGTCATGGTTGAGCTGGTGGATTTTGTCATGTCTCATTGAAGATATTTTACAAATAACTTTGCTTTCAGCTTACGGTTTTGTGACTGCGAAACAAAAGCAAAAACTACATGCATAAATTAACTCAATACATGAAGAACCAATGAAAAGCCACTGGAGATGCCATATCAAACACAAAACAAGAAAACCTCTTTGCTTCATCAATTATTAGCAATTCTCACTAAGAATGATACTTGTTGTAGTTGTTAAGTGCCCCAGGGTCAGTTCCAACTCACTGTGACCCTGTATAGGGTTTCCAAGGAGCTGCAGGTGGGTTTGAACCAGGGACCTTGCAACTCGGTGGTTAGCAGGCCAGTGCATGAAAGGAGGGAAATGAATTGTTTTTAGCTCATAAGCAACTGATTAACCAAATCAATGAAATCGGATTAGTCTTTGGGTGAATTTATATCTCTCAAAAAGCTTGTATTTTGATTTAAGGCATTTTATACTCGTGTGTTGCACTTTGTGAATCATCCTCTAGAAAATAAAAAGAAAGATCTAAGTCTGTTTATCTTAAAAGGGAAATACTGAAATGTTTAGAAAGTGGAGGATGGATCGAGCAGTGGGTAGCATATACTGAAATGGAAGTCGTCAGATTCGTTTATTGGACTTCAGGTGCCCTAGAAAATTGTTTTCCTCTCACCCCTCTTCTTCACCCCAATATTCTTAAGTAGTGAGTACACTTGGGTAAATTTTCTCTATCCTCAAAGTAAAATCCTCTAGATAGAGAAATGGAGTTTCTAAGTTGCTTTGCCTGTAGAGAACGGAAAAGAAAAGAAAAGCCAAAAAGGCACAGAGAAGGAGAAAAGAAAGGACAGGAAGGCAAAACAAAACCGCGTGGAGTTCCAGATTACGGTTTAAGCGCGCGCGTTTCTGTTACGCAGAGACAGTGCAATCTTTGCCTTCCAGGAAGGTCCCCAGTACCTCTCAAGCAAACTGCGTTTAGTGTAACCCAGGCGAAAGCCTGCAGTCCATTTTCTGTTTCTTGCTGTCCTATTTCACTGACCTGCGTAAACAAAGATCAGGAGCAACTTCGAAAGAAAGATGCCTGGACGCCCTGGCAGCCTCGGTGCGTCCATCCAAGCCGGTGGCAGGAGTAGTGCGCGCGGACAGAATGACGGACACACTGGAGAAAAGTCAGGGATCGGAGAGCGTGCCCGAACAGGGAGGGAATAGAGGCAATAAAGGGCGATCAGATGGAGAGAGCAGCTCTCCCGAGAAAGGAATAAAGCCGCGACGGGGCCATTTCCCAGAGAACCTTCGTAAAGATCCCGGGTCGGCCCCTTGGGTCTCCGTGACCCGAGGGGAACACACGGACTGAGGTTGGGCTGTGCTGGAGGCCGAGGTCTCTTTGTCTCTCACCCACCGCACTCTGGCGTCCTTGACCACCAGGCTCACATTTCATCTCCGCGGGTGGTAACAACACAGGGCTGGGGGCGGAGGTAGCCCTAACTCCTCCCTGCCTCTCTATTCTTTTTTCTAAAGAGTGACTTTCTTGGAGGAACTTTTTCTAACCTTTTGCTTTGGCTTTTGTTGTGGAGTTTAGCTATTCCAATTTTTCATTTAATAACAACGGTTGAATAGTTTTACTTCTTATCTTCAAACAATAGACGGGATTTCCAGGGCTGAAGTTTGAACAAAGAAGGCCAGCAGCGAAGAAAATCCAGGAGAATTGTGAAGTGCAGAAACATTTTATGGCACCTTTGTCAAAAGCAAGTAAAATGTTTATTATTTGTTACATATCTGAAGCATTGCCAGTAAACTCAGGGGGACTGACTACTATCATCACTATTCTTTTGTATTGTTCTGGTGTTACTGGCCAATGCAGTTGGATAAGAAAACAAAATAAAATTATAAAATTGGAAGGGAAGTATCATTTACAAATTATATTCTTGTATTATTATGGGAAAATCAAAGATAATCAGCTCTAAAGCTCTTACTTAACTAGACTGAAGTGACCAGGCATAAGTAATATACTAATCAAATCAATATTTATTTTACAGAGCAAATTTTTAATGTCTGTTTTTAATTAGCTCCAACTTGCAGTTTTGTTTGTTTTTTCTTTTATGAGTCAAGATTTTTGGTATTATATCTAAAATGCCAAACTCAAGGTCATCTGAACTTTTTCCTATGATATCATGTAGAAATTGTATTATTTCACATTTACTATTTAGGTCTGTGATATGTTTTGAATTGATTTTTGTGAAAAGTATAAAGACCCTCTAAAGATGTAGAAATGATGTCTAGAATTGTTTGGGGGAAGTTTTTGATGTTCTTGTTTTTTTTTCCTTTTTTTTTTTTTTTCCTTTTTTACATGTTTCCTTTTTTGCATGGTTCCAGCACCATAAGCTGAATTGTCTTTGCTTTTTTGTTAAAGTTCAGTGGGCTTTCCTTGAGTGAAGCTATTTTGTATTTTTGTTTTGTTTTGTTTTGTTTTCTGTTCTTCAATCACTGTAGCAAATTTAAAAGTTGGGGAGTAGTAGTCCTTTGACATTGTTATCCTTCAATTTTCTATTGGTGGTTCTGGTGAAAAATTAGTGAAAGACACTATTAAGAGGATGAAAAGACAAGTCACAGACTAGGAAAAACTATTTGTATAACACATTTCTAATGAATATCTTGTGTCCAAGATGTGGAATCCTGGTGTGGAGCTGTAAAATAAGCACTGGACCATAAGGTTGGTTTGAACTGCAGTGTCAGTGATTCAAACTTACCAGTTGCTCCTCAGGAACCCTATAAAGGGTCACTACAAATCTGAAACTACCCAATGGCACTTAAGAACAACAACAACAAACCTCAGTAATAAGAAAGCAAACGACCCACTGAAAAATGGCCAAAAGATCTGAACAGAAACTTCACAAAAGAAGACAAACAGATGGTAAATAAGTATATGAAAAGATGCTTAACAACCTGTCATAGAGAATGGCAAGTGGAAACAATTAGAGATACCACTACACATCTATTAGAATGTTTATAATATAAAATAATGACACCAAATATTGTCAGATACAGTGCTGGAAGATGAACCCATCTGTATGAATCCAGTGAAGTTGGAAACTGTCAAAAATGAAATAATTTCAATCATCAAGACAATCTTTTGTTTCCAACCTTTGCATTCCAACAACCAGAAGTTATCAATACATCTTGATTGCATGTCTGATCAACTTCAATCTTAAAAGTTGGTAGAATTCTTTAATTTCATCATCACTGATTTTAGTGTTTCCTGTGTAAATCTGAATAATATTATTGCTGTTAAGTGCTTTAGTGGTTGCCATGGAAATTTGAATAATAATATTGTTGTTGTTAAGTGCTATTGAGTTGGTTCTAACTCATAGTGACCCTGTATAGGGTTTCCAAGGAACAACTGTGGTTTAAACTGACTTTTCAGTCGAGTACTTTATTTTACAACACCAGACCAAGACTCCAAATTTGAATAATAGTGGTATTAATTCAAGATAGATCTTGAAATGTTCTGTCTAATGAAGAACTTTATGCCATCCCTGTTGAATTTGTAATTCCAACATAGCAAATCATATGATTGTCAGATTCAAAATGACTGCCTCAGCTCACTAATTCCTAGGATACCAGTCTTTATGCATTCCGTATCATTTTTGATAACTTCCAATTTTCCTAGATTTATACTTCATACATTCTATGTTCTGGTTATTAATGGATGTTTGTAGCTGTTTCTCCTCATTTTGAGTTGTGCCACATCAGCAAATGAAACTCCCAGAAGCTTACTCCATTCTCATCATCCCGGTGAACTCTATTTTGAGGCGGCAACTCTTCCCCAGTCCAATTTTTAGTGCCTTCCAACCTGAGGAGCTCATCTTCCATCACTATGTCTAGCAATATTTTGGAAGCTCTGCTCAATCCTGTCCACCATGGGTGACCCTGATGGTGTTTAAAACACTGGTGACATAGTTTCCAGCATCACAGCAACACGCAAGCCATAACAGTATGACAAACTGACAGATGAGTGGAGGACAAAACTACAGAGACAGGAAAAAAGATCAGTGATTGCTAGAGATGTAGGGATAGCTAGGTGAAACACAGGACATTTTAATAGGGAAGCTGTTTTGCATACTCTAATTGTGGATATTAATGCAGGGCAAATGACTACGTGCATTTGTCAAACCCAAAGAATTTTAAAACAAAAAGAGTGAACTTAAGGTATTATGAATGAATCAATGTTAGTTCGTCTTTAAAATAAATGTGGCGGTGGTGGTGTGCCATGCAGTCAGTTCCAACTCATACCAACCCTGCATAGGGTTTCCTAGGCTTGTAAATCTTTACGGGAGTAGGAAGTCTCATCTTTCTCCCACAAAAGAGCTGGTAGTCTTCAACTGCTGACCTTGAGATTGTTGTTGTTGTTGTTAAGTGCCGTCGAGTCGGTTCCGACCCATAGCGACCCTGTACAGATTAGCAGCCCAATTTATAACCACTACAACACTCGCAGAAGCAGCAGTCAAGAGATCAGACAACGTATTGTATTGGGCAAATCTGATGCACAGGAACTTTTTAAAGTATTGAAGAGCAAGAGATGTCAGCTTGAGGACTAAGGTGCGCCTGACCCAGGCCATTGTATTTTCAATAACCTCCTATGGATGTGAAAGCTGGGCAGTGAATAAGGAAGATTGTAGAAGAATTGATGCCTTTGAGTTGTGGTGTTGGAGGAGAATACTGAAAGTGCCATGGACTGCCAAAAGAACCAACAGATCTGTTTTGGAAGAAATGCAACCAGAGTGCTCCTTGGAGGCCAAGATGGCTAAGCTTCGTCTCTCCTACTTTGGACACATTGTCCGGAGAGAACAGTCGCTGGAAAAGGATGTCATGCTGGGTAAGGTGGAGGGTCAGAGAAAAAGAGGAAGACCCCCAACGAGATGGATCAGCCAGGTGACATCATTAATGGCATCAAGTGTGGCGGCGGTAGTGAGGTTGGCCCAGGATAGGACATTGTTTTGTTCTGCTGTGCATGAGGTCGCTATGAGTCGGTTCCGACTCGATGGCACCTGACAACAACAACAACAACACTACCAGAACTATATTAAAAATAGGAGAAATAGTATCTAGGGAGAAATGGAAATATGTGGCAATGCTCTGGTTTTGGAGCAATTTTTATACACACCTAAAACTGTTCTACAAAATGAAGGTCATTTCTTAAAATTATTATTTTTTAAAATGAATAGTTTTCTTTTTGCAAATAGAAATTAGTTACAAATTCTAGCTCTCAATTTTACATATAAAAATCATGAATAAGTGAATAGAGATAGTTCTCCATGCCTTAGAAAATTCAGCATCATAAATACAGTTTCTTAAATTAATCCATTAATATGGGAATGAACCAAATTTCAACGGAAATACTGGCATACTTTTTTTCAAGTCAGTTTTCTGCTAATGTATACAACAAAAATAATCTTTGGAAAGTCTGTCTGACCACTGATATTAAGACGTATTTCAAAATCCCAATAATTGAAGTTTTCTGGATTAACACTAGAATGTTGCTGTTGTTAAATGCTGTCGAGTCAGTTACGACTGATAGCACTTCAAACTGACCTTGCTGTCCAGTACATTATCCGACAGTGTCACAACAGGGCACGAAAGTTTATATGCTTAATGAAACAGAATAGGGAACCCAGAAATAGACCTAAATATATGCAGTTAAGAAACAAAAATCCACCATTCTGTCAATTTGTTGAACTATTGTGACTTCAGTGTTGTTGTGATGCAGGAAGCTGTGCCTCTGGTATTTCAAATACCAACGGGGTCACCCATGGTGAACAAGTTTCAGAGGAGCTTGTAAATTAAAACAGGCTTGGAAGAAGGAATAGGTGGTCCAATTATGAGAAGTTAGTCCCTGAAAATCTTATGAGTAGCAGTGGAGCATTGGCTGATATAGTACATAAAGATTAGTCCCTCGGCTGGAAAGCACTCAAAATATTATTGGGGAAGAGCTACCTCCTCAAACTAGAGTCAACCTTAAACAGAAGGATGGAGAAAAGCTTTCAGGACCTTCATTTGCGAGTGAGGCACGTCTTAAATGAGAAGAAACAGATGTAAACATTCATTACTAGTAAAAACATAG